ACGGGCAGAGCATCCTCAAGTTAGACGTAGCCAGCCAAACCTTCTCTCCGGGCTGCAAAACCAGATCCCCTCTTCGCTTCCTATTAAAAGCCCTCTTGTAGTCTTCTTGGGCTTGACGGATGGCTTCCTGTAGTTTCTTATTGTTGGAGGTGAAGAAGGTCAGTGCATCCTGTGTCGCTGAAATCGGGCATTCCGGGACTAAGTCCGGGAGGAAGACAGGATGAAACCCATAGTTGGCGAAGAATGGGGACTGCCCAGTTGCTGAATGGCAAGCGTTGTTGTACGCGAATTCTGCCAAAGGGAGGAGTGGTACCCAGTCGTCCTGAGAGAATGATGTGTAGCATCGCAGGTACTGCTCCAGGGTCTGATTGGTCCTTTCGGTCTGGCCATTGGTCTGAGGGTGAAATGCCGAGGAAAGGGACAGCTTGATATCCAGGGCTTTGCACAACGCCCTCCAAAACCGCGAGGTAAACTGCACCCCTCGGTCCGAGACGATGTCTTCGGGAACCCCATGTAGTCTAACGATCTCTCGAATAAAGACTTGCGCTGTCTCGGCTGCTGATGGAGTCTTCCGTAAAGGGATGAAATGGGCCATCTTGGATGTGGAACTGGAACCTCGAGAAAAACAATGCCCATCTTGCTTGTCGTGGACGTAGACGTTTGGCCGTCCTCAGATATTCCAGGTTCTTGTGGTCCGTGAATATCAGGATGGGATGGGAGGCACCTTCCAGCAGGTACCTCCATTCTTCTAAAGCGGTTTTGATAGCCAGTAGCTCGCGATCCCCAATGTCGTAGTTCCTCTCCGCCGGGTAAGTTTCCGTGAGAAAAATGCTACTGGGTGAAGTAATTCCTTGGCGCCCTTCCGCTGGGAAAGGATGGAGCCAACTGCGTTTTCTGATGCATCTACTTCTAAGATGTAAGGCAGGGAGGCGTCGGGATGACCCAGAATGGGTGCCGAGGTAAATAACCTTTTTAGTGCTTCAAAAGCTTCCTGTGCCTCGGGCGTCCATCTGAATCGCATCCCAAGCTTAGTTAACTGAGTGATGGGGGAGACCAGACCCGAGAAGTTCTTGATGAACTTCCGGTAGAAATTTGCGAACCCAATGAAACGTTGGACACTTTTCCTGTCCGTGGGTTTCAGGCCAATCTAGGATCGCTGAGACCTTCTGAGGGTCCATTGCGACCCCCGCGGTGGAGATAATCAGACCCAGAAAATGTAACGCTAGCCTGTTCAAAGCAGCATTTCTCTGCTTTAGCGTACAACCCGTGCTGCCGCAACCGCCCCAACACCTTTGTTACATGTACCCTGTGCTCCCCAGGGAGGATGAGAAAATCAAAATGTCGTCTAAGTAGACGATGACAAAGATGTCCAGGAAGTCCCTAAAGATGTCGTTTACAAAGTGCTGGAAGGTGGCTGGCGCATTGCACAACCCGAACGGCATGACCAGGTATTCAAAATGGCCGAAACGGGTGCGGAAGGCCGTCTTCCACTCATCCCCCTCCCTTATGCGAACCAAATTGTAGGCTCCCCTTAAGTCCAGCTTGGTAAAAACTACTGCAGCTTTTAAGCTCTGGAATAATTCAGGTACCAGTGGTAATGGGTAACGATTTTTAATGGTGACCCTATTCAGCTCCCGATAGTCAATGCATGGCCTCAAAGTCTTGTCCTTCTTTTCTACAAAGAAGATCCCTGCACCTGCCGGGGAAGTGGAAGGACGGATGAATCCCTTTCGGAGGCTGTCCTCAATATAGTCCTTCAGGGCCCCCTAATTCTAGCTCAGAAAGGGGAAAAATTCGCCCGAACGGAATTTCAGAACCGGGCAACAGATCAATAGGACAGTCATAAGGACGGTGGGGGGGGTAGAGCATCTGCTCCCCGTTCACTGAACACATCAAGAAACTTATGATAGGCTGCAGGAATCACTTGTTTTAGGCTGTCATCCCCTTCAGAGCACAGGAGGACCTGGGGGACCTCCGGGCCCGAAGTTCGACACAGTTCCCGACAATATGGGGAAGGGAACGAGACAACCCCAGTCTCCCAGTCAATTTGGGGGTTATGGGCCCGCAACCAAGGGAGCCCCAGAATGACTGGGAAAAGGGGTGATGCAATAGCATCCAGGCGGAGGAGTTCCCGGTGCTGACCGGCAATGGAAGTCACAATGGAAGGGGTCTCCTGGTTAAACAACTCCTGACTTTATCCGGGAACCATCAGCCAAAAAGATGTGAAACCCCTTCTCCTTTGGGCGGAGGGGGATACCCTGCTGGTGAGCAAAATTGATATCCACAAAACAGCTGCATGCCCCCGAATCAACTATGGCCGTCACCTCCACGGTCCTTTCTGAAAGCTGAAAGGAGAGGGGAACAACTAAGTACTGGGACGGATTCATATTGCCAACAGATAAAGAAGATGAGGTGAACTTACTCAGCTTCTGCGGGCAGGAACGCACCATGTGACCAGCTTCGCCGCAGTACAGGCACAGATTCTGGGAGCGTCTGCGCTGGCGTTCCTGAGGCGATAGTTTAGGCCGAGCCAGGCCTAGCTGCATGGGTTCGGGAGCATCTTCAAACGGCAGGTTCTGGATGCTTGGCCTAGTATGTTGACTGGATCCCTGAAATGACCCCCAGGGATTTCCGCGACCCTGTCCAGACCTCTCCAATCTGCGCTCCCGTAGCCTACGGTCGATTTTAATGGTGAGTGCAATCAAGTCCTCTAATGTCTCGGGCACCTCCACCCGGACGAGCTCGTCTTTCAGGGCCTCAGAAAGGCCCATACGGAACTGGTGCACAAGTGCGAACTCGTTCCAACGGGTGTCACCCATCCAGCGCGCCTAAAGTCAGAGGCGTATTCCTCAGCCGCACGCCGACCTTGTCGGAGTGCGTATAGTGTGGCCTCGGCCGAGGCCGCCCGTTGTGGGTCATCATATAAGATGGCCATGGCGTTAAAGAAGCTGTCGACCGTAACCAGGTGAGGGTCATTGTTTCCCTTAGTCGGTGGGCCCAGTCTTGGGGTTCACCCTGAAACAGGGAGACAACAAACCCCACTTTCACCGATTCTGTCAAAAAGGTCCGTGGCTGCAGTTCAAAATAGAGCAGACAGGAGTCCCGGAATGACCGAAAGCGTGTGCGATCCCCATGGAAGCGCTCGGGTAAGGGTACTCGGGGTTCCGCCATAGGGAGTGAAGTGGGAGGCCCAGGAGCCGGCTCGTGGGCTGCTGCGACCGGTGGTGCGGGAACCGGGGCCTGTGAAACCGGAACAGATATGGTGCAGGCCTGAAACCGATTCTCGATCTGCAGACATCTGTCCTGTAATGTGTTTACTGCTTGTGTCAGGGTGGCCAGGTGCCTGCAAACCTCGTCCAACGGGGAGAGTCCTCCTCGAGGCTCAGTCATGGCCTTCTGGTACTGTGAAGGACCGCCGAGCGGCACCACTAGCACTCCACTGGTCAGGCGTGCCCAGAGCGCGGAGTCTAAGCCCCAGGGTACTTGTTCACCAGGGCCCCTGATGGTGGGGATGGACTTGTAGTACCCCGAGACCAGGTCGCCTCTACTGAGCACACCTGTCAGTGGTAGGGGTGTTCGCCAGGGGTTCCAACCAGGGAGAGCCAGATGTGAGGAGGTCGGGTGAGTCCGATGGGATGGATGGCTGAGCAAGTGCGTAGTCAGACAGGCCGAGTCGGTAAGGTAGAGGACGGTAAGGTACAAGGGAGCAGGCAGAGAATCGTCGGGTCACACGCCAGGTCAGCAACAGGAGATCAGATCTAATAAGGGGCATCCAGGGAGAGAGGTCAGGCAAGCAGGGGTCTGGGCAGGAGAAATCAGCAAGGTCAAGAGCAATCCGGGTCAATAACTTACTAGGCACAGGTACAGGAACACAGGAGGCAGGTAAGACCAGAAGGCAACGAAATGACAGCTCAGGGACCTTTAAATATCCCGCCCTGCGCTGCCATTGGTGCCCAGCGGGCGGCCGCGGCTTCTACTGCGCATGCGCGAGCTCGAACGCCGCGGCCGGCCCGGACCTAGTGCCCGTGTACTAGGTGGAGCAGTGCGCCTGCGCCGGGACCATCGCGGCAGGGATCGAGGAGATCCCTGACAAATGTACAGTGCTGAGCGAACTGTTGGCGCTTTATAAAAACTGTATAATAATAATAACTGCGTAAATTGATGGCACTATATAAGTACCTGAAATAAATAAGAGAGTTAATAATAGAATTCACATCAAAAGAAGCCAAAACAACTGCCAATTGTTACACACACACTCTCTTGGCTTAGTCCTGCACTCCTACAACCTTTAGGGACCAAGTTTAGCATTGCCTACTATGTAAACATGACTATGCCAATTCAACATTTACTAAAAGTCATTTTCATGTGAAGATGCTTTTTCGTTCACCACGGCAAGGTCCTAATTGTTTCAATTAGGTGAAGTTTGGTGTCTAACATCTATTGCTTCACCTTATTCTTAGTAAATCAACCCCATAATGTCAATGGCATGGTCTGAAAATAGTCTGGACCTCAATCCAATTGAAAATCTATGGTGGAAATTAACCACTTGCCTACAGGACACTTATACCCCCTTCCTGCCCAGGCCAGTTTTCAGCTTTCAGCGCTGTCGCACTTTGAATGACAATTGCGCAGTCATGCAACACTGCACATATGAATTTTTTTTTTTTCATTTTTTGAGACAGATAGAGCTTTCTTTTGGTAATATTTAATCACCTCTGTTTTTTTTTATTTTTTTCTAAACAAACCAAAAACAACTGAAAATTTTGAAAAAAAATAAATTTTTTCTTAGTTTTTGTTATAAAATTTTGTAATAAAGTGATTTTTCTCCTTCACTTATGTGCGCTAATGAGGCTGCAGTGATGGGCACTGATAGTAGACACTGATGGGCACTGATGAGGAGGCACTAGTAGATGGCACTGATGGGCATTGACAGGCATCACTGATGGGCACTGAAAGGCAGCACTCATATATGGCACTAATTATATGGCACTGTTAGGTGGCACTGACTGGCACTGTTAGGCGGCACTGACTGGTACTTATAGGCAGCACTGACTGGCACTGATAGGCGGCACTAACTTGCATTGATAGGTGACACTGAAAGGCAGCTCAGATGGGCACTGATATGTGGCATTGATGTGCACTGGTAGGCACTGATATATGGCATTGATGAGGCACTGATGGGCACTGGCAGGTGGCATTGATGGGCAATGACATCTGGTATTGATGGGCACTGACAGGTGGTACTGCTGGGGCTACACTGATCATCAGGGCACACTGATCATCAGTGCCCTGATGATCAGTGTAAATGTCCCCTCCGAGGAATGCCGATTACCGGCTCTCCTCTTCTCACGAACTGCCAATGTGACAGCTCAAGAGGAGAGAAATGCCTATAACTGGCATTTCCCTATTTACATGTGATCAGCTGTGATTGGACACAGCTGATCACATGACCAAGCCGACATCTTCGGCTCTTTTCGTTGAACGGTGATCCGCTGTGTCAGAGGGAGCCGCACATGCGCGGTTAGAGTGGGAAGACATCATATGACATCCTCCCAGAATGAGAGAACCACCTTGCACCCGTAATTACCTTATATGGCGGGCGGGAGGCGGTTAAAGAAAATGGTCCATGACAAGGCTCCAACCTGCAAAGCTGACCTGGCAACTGCAATGAGAGAAAGTTGGAGCCGGATTGATGAAGAATACTGTTTGTCGATAGTTAAATCCATGCCTCAGAAAATTCAAGCTGTTATAAAAGCCAGGGGTGGTGCAGCAAAGTACTAGTGGTGTAATGTAGTGTTTTTTACTCATGATTCCATAATATTTTCCTCAGAATTGAGTGATTCCATATTTTTTCCCTTGTTTTTCTGCAAAAAACAGTTGCAACTGACTACAGTTTTCTTTTTTTTATTTTTGTGTTTCCTAAAGCCAGAAGGTTGGAATGCTAATTAGTTTAGAGGCATGTCTGTGATTAGTTTTTTTTCTACACAATTAAACAATTGAGCATTTTCCAAGAGTGGTGATTCCATACTTTTTGCTAGGGGTTGTTTATAATTATACATTGTACCTCCCAGCCTGTTGAATGCCCTCCTCATGGTGTAATTTTACTTCACTCCTCTCTCACATGTGTCTCCCTAGCTACACCAACAGAAGAGTGGAAAGCATCCCATCCCACAAACCCCCACTGGAGTGCATCCCAGAAAGCTGTGCGGGCATCCAACCGGCCCTTAGCAACTAATGATGATGTCATCGGTTGGCAGAATGCAGACAGCCCACACACCTTTCTGAGTGCCTTTGGCAGCTGCATACAGTATGCATGCAGCTGCCACAGGCACTCAGAAAGCTGTGTGGCCCGTCCGCATCCTGCCAGCCAATGACATCATCAGTGCTTGCTAAGGGCCGGTTGGATGCCCACACAGCTTTCTGGGATGCACTCTGCTAGCAGGCATCTAGTGACAGATTCCTCTTTTCAACATTTAAGCCTTTTTTCGATGACAGCGGTGCTGTCTCAAACATGCATTTGGAACAACACCCCTGTCATCGAAAAAAGACTTAAATGTTGGAAAAAGGAATCTTTTACTAGATGCCTGTATAGTTGGGGAGGTTTTTGGTCATCTTGCTGCAGCACCCAGGTTGAGAAACGCTGCTGTAAAGTACTTCCAGTTCCTGTGATAAAATCACATTCTCAACATGTTACATCCCATTGGACTTTATCAAGTCGAAGTGACACCTATCAGGAAGTGACTTACTGTATATACCTCACCACTGCTCATAATAATTTGCCCTTACGTCTCACCTTCAACAAAAAACTTATTGCACATACAGAAATGCAAAATGTCTTGCATGGTCATATTTCGATTGCCATGTACAATAGTATAAATTTAAAATTTCATATTTATCAAATGATTCATTTTAAAAGAAAAAAAATGTAAATGTATTATTAAAAATGTAAAGAGGTTGATGTCAGTAAGGCATTGAATGATATCAGTTGTTTTTTTTAATTATTTTTTTAAAATATTTTTTACAATTTTATTATTTTTTTTTTACAATTTTATAGGAGCTCTCTTTTGAGACAGAGACAGAGATTTCCCAGTCCCATTCATTGTAGCCTTAGCTGTACTGGAAAGTGAATGGATGGGAAGTGCTCTGTGCTGGGCGGCTTCCTGTTAATTCATAAACTGAAGTAAACACATTTACCATGCTTCAGTATGAATGAACACAGTTAGCGATCGATACCAAGGGGAGCACTGGTGCTCAGTAGGTGGCACAAAAAGAGCTCTGGTGCTCAGTTGGGGGACAACGGGGCACTGGTGTTCAGCAGGGAGGCACTTTTGCTCATTGGGGAGACAAAAGGGGCACTGGTACCCAGTGGGAAAACAAGGGGGGCATTGGTGCTCGGTGGGGGGTGCAAGAGGGCACTGGTGCTCAATAAGGGAAGATGGTGCTCATTGGAGAGAATAGACAAAAGGGTGAGACTGGTGATCAGTCGAGGGAGATGGGGGGTCCTGGTGCTAAGCAGGAGAAGGTGGTGGGTCCTGGTTCTTAGTGGGGGGAGATAGGGGTCCTGGTGATTAGTGGGGATCCTGGTGCTTACTGGGGGGGGTGGGGTCCTGGTGCTTAGTGAGGGCAGATTGGGGGCACTGCCAGTCAGTGGAGGAGGGGGCACTGGTGCGCAATACCTGGCTGCTCGCTATAATCTGGAATCCTGTAGAAAAATCATCCCTTCTCTCACTGTTCTTGTCTGCTGATCTTTCTCCAGACAGATGCAATATCAGCTCAGACCATCACTGCATCACAGAGCCAGCAGCAAAAGAAGAATTTGTCTGACTGATGACTCATCTAATGCAGAGCCCAGCAGAGAAAGTCAGTGGTGGAAGTCTTCCTTTGCTGCCACTCTTTGACAGGAGCAGCTGTCACTGCTCCTGTCAACAGATTCTCCCCATGCCCCCCCCCCCTCCCCCAGTTACTGCCTTGCATTCTAGACTAATTGTGGTTCAAAGGCTCTGGTGAGGCCCCATTGCATGAGGGAACACCTGGTGGCAGAAAATTGTTGGTGGTATTGTGTGAGATCACTAAATGTTTATGTGAGCACAATAAATAAAGTGTGGGAGCACAGATTTGGTTTGATAGTATCACATTATGATGGTTTTTGTTTTTATATGTCCATGATTAAATCTTGCATAGAATGCGTGACAAGCAGTGGAGGAAAGAGGTGAGAGTGACACTGAATGAGATATAGTGTTGTTGCGCTTAGGAATAGATATTCATGAAACTAAGGATACGCTGCAGTCCTAATTTGTGAACCAATAACACAAAAACAAACAAAATATCATGTGAACCGCGCATAAATTAAGTGCATTAAATTTGACAATACATGAGTAATATTGCTTCACATATGCAAAGTGAATAATTGTAACATTCAGTCCCAATACAGAAAAATATCTCCACTTCCATGTGGGGCACCAATTGAGCACCTGTCATTTTTTTGCACAAAGTTCACTAATTAGTATTTGTAAAATATCGTATTGTCTCGATATTTTATTAACTTGTATTGATGAGAAATGTTCAGATAGAAAGTCCTTCCACTTCTTGCATAAACTCAAAAAGATGATTTAATAATAATGTTGCATAAAATTAGAAATAAAATATTGTCATACAGAATGTTTAAATAATGTCCAAAAAATATAGTTAAGTTCTTGATAATAAGATTGTATATATGTATATGTATGTGTGTATAGTGTGTAACGCAACAAGGCTTCTAGCAAAGTGTCCTTAAAAAGTCTTTGTTCTGCTCTTAAAAGAGCAATCCAGCCCCCACCTTTTCCTAAAAATGGGCTGGTATACTTGTAGTCCCACAAAGATAATTGGAAACAGATGTGTATATATAACAAACGTCCAGTCTACTTCTCCTAAAGTCTGAGCGTAACCAAAGAAGGCCTAGACCAGCGGTTCTCAACCTGGGGGTCGCGACCCCTTTGGGGGTCGAACGACCATTTCCCAGGGGTCGCCTAAGACCATCGGAAAACACATATTTCCGATGGTCTTAGGAACCGAGACGCCGCTCCTGTCTCTCCGGCGATGTGTGGGCGGGCTGATATGCTGCCCCTGTCACCGCCTCCTCGCCGCTGATTGGCCACCGGAACTGTAGCTCAGGAGAGGCACACAGGCGGCCAATCACCGGCGAGAGAAGGTGGAGCTTGGAGAGGAGGAGCCGAGCGGCAGCGCGCGGAGATCGAAGAAGATCGAGGGAGCTGCAGGAACGAGTGAAGAGAGAGGCCAGAGAAGGAAGACAGCTGACAGGTAAGTGCAAATTTTGCTGCTGCAGCCAGGTATGCAGGCTGTAGATGGGAGAGGGAGAGAGCGAGCCCAGGCTGGAGCAGGAGTCAGCAAGGTAAGTATCATTGGTGTCAGTGGGAGGGATAGTGCCCCATCATTTGTGTCACTAATACCAACGATGGGGCACTATTCCTCCCCCCACTGACGCCAACGATGGGGCACTATTCCTCCCCCCACTGACGCCAACGATGGGGCACTATTCCTCCCCCCACTGACGCCAACGATGGGGCACTATTCCTCCCCCCACTGACGCCAACGATGGGGCACTATTCCTCCCCCCACTGACGCCAACGATGGGGCACTATTCCTCCCCCACTGACGCCAACGATGGGGCACTATTCCTCCCCTTACTGACGCCAACGATGGGGCACTATTCCTCCCCTTACTGACGCCAACGATGGGGCACTATTCCTCCCCTTACTGACGCCAACGATGGGGCACTATTCCTCCCCTTACTGACGCCAACGATGGGGCACTATTCCTCCCCTTACTGACGACGCCAACGATGGGGCACTATTCCTCCCCTTACTGACGCCAACGATGGGGCACTATTCCTCCCCTTACTGACGCCAACGATGGGGCACTATTCCTCCCACTGACGCCAACGATGGGGCACTATTCCTCCCACTGACGCCAACGATGGGGCACTATTCCTCCCACTGACGCCAGCGATGGGGCACTATTCCTCCCACTGACGCCAGCGATGGGGCACTATTCCTCCCCACTGACGCCAGCGATGGGGACTATTCCTCCCAGCGATGGGGCACTATTCCTCCCACTGACGCCAACGATTGGGCACTATTCCTCCCACTGACGCCAACGATGGGGCACTATTCCTCCCACTGACGCCAACAATGGGACACTATTCCTCCCACTGACACCAATGATGGGACACTATTCCTCCCACTGATACCAATGATGGGACACTATTCCTCCCACTGACAACAATGATGGGGCACTATTCCTCCCACTGACACCAATGATGGGACACTATTCCTCCCACTGACACCAATGATGGGACACTATTCCTCCCACTGATACCAACGATGGGACACTATTCATCACACTGACATCAGTGATGGGGCGCTAGTCCTCCCACTGCAAAATTACAGTTATGAAGTAGCAACGAAAATAATTTTATGGTTGGGGGTCACCACAACATGAGG